GGGGCAATATTGACAGCGATCCTTGAAGGTACAGCAGAAAAACTCACCGATGGTAGAAACCCTACCAGGTGGCATGCGCCGGACTTCGGTGCCGAGCGCGCGTACTTTGTCAGATTTCCAAAGTACAAATAAAGGGGCCAGGCCTTTGCCGTTCCGAAGTTCGCCAGATGCGTGGCATCCGAAAAAAACATGAGACCAGCGATTACTCGCTCCAGCGTGCATTCAGGCTCCCTTGGGAGCTTTTGCAGCTCGTCTTGGGCATCCAACCAAGAGTCCGAGGTATACAACTCGTCGAATACTCGCTCTTGATGAGAGTCCAATGGATCCTTCCACATGCACTTGAAAGGTGAGAGGTGAAACGCGTTAGCCTGGATATCCGCGAAAGCTGACCGAATGACTTCAACCAGGGGGCGAAAATGGAATCCGGGAACGGAAAAAAGTCTCGTATCATCCTTCGATTTCGTGGGGATGTTGATGGTGACATCGGCCTGGGTCCAGTCGTCTGGAAACTCGATCTTATTCTTATTGGTATCGTTGTCCAATTCCCGTAAGCTCCTTTTCACCGAGAAGTCCTCCAGGTGCTTCAAGTCGAAGTTGTCTGCTAGTATAACTTCTTTCACAAGACGAGCAACTTCAGTCTCCGATTTCTTATTGCTCCCGGAATTCATCCAAGACATGACTCGATAGATCGTCATGTTGGGAAAAGGGTACGGAGGTGGGAGGATGCTTGTCTCATTCTCTTGTTGGGCTTTCGGACACGTGCTTGAAAGTAACACGGACGGGACAAATTTATCGGGCTCAAAGGATGGGCGACGAGGGTAAAGCCGGTAGAGTCCGAGAGAATTGAAACTGGTCTGGAGTGTATCTCGCAAAGTTAAGAGAACTCTCCGGATCCTGGTTTGAGGTGGGGCTGGACTTTGAGAAGGCAAAAATTCGACATTATCCGAGTGATTAGTGTCCTCGTCAGGAAGAGGAACATCCTCAAAACGTCTAGGTATTCGTCGCAGCCTAGGGAGCGAAGGTTCTTCTGGGAGTGAACAACAGTTTTAAAAAACAAGTTATTTGACCAAAGTGAATGTAAGGCGTACTTGAAACGTCGGTGTCCATTGCGTTGTCAACACTGTCATGGGTATCAAAGTGAAGCTGCCGCTGCTCTGAGAGTTCAGGGCCACGTGCACCAGTAGACGCGCCAGCCTGAGTCCATCTGCTTGATGGATCGTACAAAAAAATGGGTTTGGAGAGATGATCGCGCTCCACATGAGGAATGGGCAATATTGTTGTCTAGAATTATGCGACAATTCAACTGTCCTATTCATGGGATCGATTAAAAAAATCAGCCACTTACCGAAGAACTGCTCGATTCCCCTCGCTGTGGTATTCCTGATGATGATCGTACCAGAGAAGCAGCTCTGGCAGCAGCCTTCGTCCTTTCTTGTCGTTTCTGGCTGGCTAGGGTTCTGGATCGGTGGTAGAATTTGCATGATGCGCGATGCCTAGAAAGACCTCGACTACTGTCAGTTGATTTCTCCCAGAGGCAGCCTGGGGCAGTGCATGAAACCATTGCGACGGCCAAGGCTAGTAGTAGATCAACAAAGAGTAAAAAAAGAACAAGCCGCAGTTTCTTGTGCATTCATCAGACTCCGAGTTGATTGGTGGTGAAAGTAATACTGATTTGAGTTCGGTAAGGTCACCTAACGGTATTCCTACGAGCTCTGAAAGTGAGCTCGATGCTACCGTTGCGACCGTCTATGACTCTATGGTCAACAGACGACGACTGACTTTGAAAGACTGTGTACGATCACGTGACCCTCGGGGTTCGGCCTCGTTTCCAGTGACTCCGAGTCGGAAAGCTCAGAACGTTCAATATCATTGCCTCCAATGATACCCCAACTGTGAGCATCTCTATTAAATCCACGAAAAAGATAAAGAAAATATTTTGCTTTCAGTTTACTGGGGGATTGTACTGAGATCATCGTCGTTGGGCCAGTGATCCTTAAACTTCGCAAGACCGTCAGGGAGTGACAGGCAGATCATCCAATGGTCGAAGTACTAGTCATGCGGTGATGTGCCAAATTTTCACCTGAAATTTGGCAGAGAACACAAAAACGCTCTTTAGTCTGCACTCGGTAAAATATGTTAAAGTCCCATCAGCGTCCAATCACGTACAACTACACAAAAAATGATAAAACAACAACACTCACTGGATGGTAAGCGGCCATGGAATCTACTAGTAGTAGTAGTAGCAGTAGACAAACAGCGTTAGATGGTGGAAAAGGCAGTTTGTCGAGTATGAAGGCAACATCCTTTTCCACAAGAATGCCTTCGATCTTACTGTCACTCGCCCTGCAGCATTCTTTGATGGTAGCGCTAGTAGTGACTCTGGTAGGAGGCTGACAAGATCCGAAAGCGTTAGACTCCCGCTTGACTATTCCTTAAATTATGATCTGTAACATAACATAACATAGGTGGTGTTATGTCTTTGGGGCAGGGGGCCTGCCAGGTGGATTATCATTAGAGTCCTACGATCGTGATGATTCTAATAAACGACAAAATGAATGAGCTTTCCGAGTTTGCGAGACTGACGGAGACTACGGTAGTCAGGCCTCAATATTTCAAGTTGTCGCACGTCTGAGTCACGTGCGGGTCTTCAATCTAACATACTGCATACATTTCAAACATATGGCTATTTGTTGCACTGGTCTAGATCAATAACGGATTTACAACGATCTCAGACATACGCCACACAACAACGAACAAATTTCCAACTCCCAAGGTCTATAATATATTTAGTATTCAAATACACATGATCAGCGTAGTACCTCACATCAGCTATTGACATCGAACTTGCAGTCGGGGGACCCTCCCTCCGAATCCATCCTATCGTCATTACCTTCGTCAGGCAGACCTAATTTGTGCGCAAAACCCTCGAGGTGATCAAGCTGTACATCGGAAACAACGAAAGACGTGATATCGCAGCCATATGCGCCGATGTTGAAGTCTATATCGATATTGAGTTCTTTCGAGGTACGCCCTACCAAAAGCTTGTTGAAAGAGGAAGCTTCTGCATCGCTACGAGCATATTCTAGAGCATCCTGCTCCAGCATCATTTCAAGAAGCTTTGTGCGCTGAACTGATGATTCAATCTCCCAAGCCGTCGTCAGAACATGTAAGCGCTTGGACTCACGGGTAGCTTGCATCGCAACGACGGCTTGAGCGACGGCCTTGCCAGACATGCCTCGCAAGCCACGCTCAAACAGTTCTTTACCCTAGTATCAAATGTTCATTATTGTGAAATTGTAGCATTGAAAGCTCACTTACCGCCTGGACATCAGCCACAGTCATATCAGTCTCGCCGGAGTGTTTTCCGACAGACTTGTGAAGAAACCGAAGCTCAATTGCGTTAGGCCCATGGCCACGGTGCGTGTCATAAGGTTTGAACTGTCTTTTTGCGCGTTGCACGTAGTAAGACAAGTTTTTCGAGGGGGGGAGGTCTGGAAGAACAAAAAGTTCGTCTTCTGACGAATTATTTGTGATGTCCGAGTCAGATGATGGTGATGATGATCGGCGACCTCTGAGGTGTTGGGATGACACTCTGAATCTCATTGGTATATGATCAGGACGATAGTAGTGTCGCCTGTCGCGACAAGAAGAGTTATGTTCACTGCCAGTGACCTGGCCACGTGTCTGAACGCCATCGGGCCAGAGTTGACAGGACGACTTGGAGTCCTCATCCTGACGAGTAGGACTGGGTTGTCCGGTAGAGCTTGGAGGAGTAAAACAGGGATGCATTTTTGGCTCGCCAGCCTGAGAATGCTCCATAGCTGGTTGTTATTCAACAAGTTGTTGATGCGTGTTGGAGGACGTCGGGTGAAAGTTGGACGAACACAGATTCCACTAGACTAGTGTGTGACTGGAAAACCCTCCCAGTTGGGGCATTGGTCACGATGTATTAATTTCCCTGAGGGGAGTTTGAACCTGGACGTTTCTTGGTAGTGAAACTCAGGTGTTTCGTTGGAGAAACTCGACTAAAATGGCACTTGGTGGGCGCAGTTTGGCGCTCAACGTAAATGATAACACACATACTTACTAGTACAGACCTGTGCTGCCTGCCCCTCAACGTAACCCGTTAATTAATTTGAAACTCAAACTTACCTTCTACTAGGATCTAACTTCGTGTACACACCGTGATTGCTGAGGTCCCCAAGACCAAGGCTATTGCCAAACGGATTGCGTAAAAGCAAGGTTCAATCAAACACGTGCAGCCGCCAGGGTGACTCAGTTTGGTTTGTCTTGGACTTCAAGCTTGAAGGCCAGTTTCCTTCAATCGATTAGAAGACTCCCTAAATATCCTTCAGATTAAAATCTAGCCCCGGATCTGGGTAAGTTCGAGTCTTACTGCGGTCACCACCGGATGCCGCCGCATCAATTGATTTCCGACCGATTGATTTGAAAGAATTTCTGGGCGGCCATCCACCGTGGCTTCACTGAGTTGTTGGACCGCGACCAGTTAGTATTAAATCGTTGTCATGTGTCTGACTCTTCACGGCCTTCCAGATCGCTACCGTATGGCGACTGTGACTAATACCACAATCCTGACTATCATATTCATATTTCAGAGACTTCAAAAGTTGGTGTTCATTGTCACTCGGCGGGTCGCGGAGGCTCGCCAGAACTAAGCGGCTCTCTAAGAAGCAATAGCTATTGAATGGTCGAACCTTATAATGTTCGATGATCGATTGTCGATAACCAGTCATGACGGTAAGTCACACATGTAATATGCCTCGTTGTCATTATCCTCATTACGAGTATCTGACAGCAGGGAGTCCGGCTAGCGATTCATATGCGGCCGCGGCTGAGAGACTGACTGTACAGGGGCTTGTCTAAGGAGAGTCACTAGTATCAGTGAGTAATGTTAAATATCAAAGTTTCGTATTTGGTACTGAGTCAGTTCGTCTCCGAGTCTCCGCGCCACTGCCATTGTCCTCTGGCAGGCTGTGACCATGATTCCTCCAGGCTCAGATCAAGTTGTACGTCGCCAGGAACTTAGTGATGATAGCTACAGCAGCTTTCAGCCACCTCCAGACTCAGATTCTGAGATGTCACGGTGGTGTGAAGAAATGATGAACCTGCCGGTGATGGAAGGCTGGTCTGAGTCGTTGGACATGCCAGCCCCGCTGGGCATCATACCCCCGCTCCATGAAAACGAGTCAGACCCCCACAGTAATTCAACTCCTGGGCCTAGTCAGGCTCATCACACCCCCGTGGAGACTCCGCTATCCATCGAAGAATTTATGGCCATGATCATGAGCTTTGACGCAACCGCCAGTGCCACTGAGGCTGAAGTCGCGGCCGCAGCCCCGCATCTACACTCCCGCTTGTCGAATGTACGCTTATTGCGTCAGGTTGACCCGCCGCCGCCATCCAGAACTCGATACACCCCTTACGAAATTCTCGACAGGCCTGACATTCATCGTGGCAAGCATTGCCTCACTGACGATGTCGAACATCACGCTGGACCGTCACAGCACAGCTCGATGCCAGGTGTACCACCTCCTGCAGTACCATTACTAGCCATTCCAGTACCCTCCTGCAGTACCATTAGCCATTCCAGTACCACCTCCTGCAGCACCATTGTCTACGACGTCTGAGTCATTGCCCTCACTTGCTGTGCCGATTGGACTTGAGAACCTCGTACCCCAGGTGAAATTGAGGGCCAAACAGCGCATGAAACAGTCGATGTTCGACGACTCGTTTCTACTTTCATCCCAGAAAAGATCGGAAAAGGCGCTTGCCAGTCTCGTTGCCGTCATATCCACATTCAATAATCGCAAGTCTCTCACAATATTCATTCTAAACTGACAACTGATCATATTGAGAATAGCTGAACTCGTTCTGTGGTCCCTCGGGAGTGAGGCCAAAAAGGACGCAGACAAAATTGGTGAGACCGCCAAGTACCTGAGGAAACAGGTCAAGGATATAGTTCGGATGGCGGTTTTATTTGGCTACAATTTAAACAACGCGTTGGCAACCCAAACGCAGGAAGAGATGGAGGTTACCATCAGAAACCTTCTGCAAGGTGACGCATTCCTAAACGGAGATATCGAGGTAAGTCTGACATTCTTTTCTCTTTCCGAGGCCAGTAATGCTCATGGGCTTTACCATCAGGTGGGGGGACAGACTATACTCGGTGTGCCGTTCGGGAACAGAGTAGTGCGGCATTTCATGCAGCACATACTGTTCTACCAACTTAACCTCCAGCAATACGTCGGCCCTAGCCGAAATCTCGGGGCATTATTTGCTTTCATCGGGACATTATTTGAGTGGGCGTTGAGAGAACTGTCGACTGGTGTTTTCATCCCAAGTGACTTTGACTTGTCCCGTGCCAGGGTAGCTTTCGACAACAAGTTAAGTAGTCTTTACAGGTCGATGAGCAGCAATGTACGTAGTGCCCTAGTTGCAGACATCTACGCTCAAAGGGGATGATTATCTTAGGGGAGCAGAGCCATCAGTATTACGAACCGCCTGTATTTAGTACCTCCTCAATGTTTGATGTTGCTGACGATCACGAAGGTCGAGGATCGACTTATGCACTCAACGACTCGTGTCACAGTCAGTAAATCAGAAATAAATTCGGAGATTAGATACTCATCCCGGCAAAGTTTCACCTATCATTGATTCATATCCGAACCTCGGAAAAATCGTCAACGCATACGTGGTGCTGTAATAGGGCCCTAGATCCCAATGAGAACTTGAAATGGTCCTAGCCATATACTCCGGAAAACGACGGAAATATGTGGGACAATATTCGCATCGATTTCCGGAGAAAATTTAGACTTATAGTAGTTTTCAGCGACTCGCCTTCGGTTGGCTGCCGGGGTGCCGGCCTATTTCATCTAGCAAACAATTGACTCTAGTAGCCGCAGACCTTGAATTCTATGTCACCTGCTCTACGTCAACTCACGGAGCCTTGGAATTTCAGCGTCGAACCTTAGTGCACGCGTAAATGCAATTGAATTGGATTGTGTATTGATAGACGCACCAAGTCCAGTCACATCTCGTTGGGGAAAGAATACGATCACATGACCATCAAGAATGGCCGGTGCACGTGGGTACATTTGCCTTTATGGGTACGGGGGTTGGGCCGCCATATATCCTGTTTGCATTACGATAAGGAATTTTGTGAGCTATTGAATAGGTTGGCCTTTAGCTCGTTCGACAAGCTGATTAAAACGTCGTAACAGGACGACAAATGTCGTAACAGTACGAAGCTTCAACAAATAGGAAGATGCATTGGCAGCCGCTAGGCGCGCTGCAAATGCACAGCTGTCCGACTCGACGTACTACAACCGCAAAAGCATCCCTTCTGAGCCCGTGACCCCTGTGAGCGCTGTGGAAAAACGGAGAGAGCATGACGAGTTCAGGAAGCATGAGGCGCAAAAGAGACGGACAAGATGAAGTTAGATGAAGATGCAGGCGGGCCCAACAAGAGGGTATTCTAAAACATGGAGAGTTCACTGCGCGGGAGGCTCGCCATAGCGTTGTCCCTTCTCCCATGCTTGCGACGTCCGCAGGCGGCTCCCAGCGTTCATCTTTTGTCGATCCACAATCTTATGAAGACGTTACTCCACTTCTTATGCCTATCGAGAGCTCAACAAGGTCAGCCTCCTCGAGTCTTGAATTTATCCATCTATAGACCATATAGGAACCGCGCTACAACTCCAACAAGTTTGAAGCCGTGAGTATCTCCTCGTCATTATTGGGCGTATCTCATTGTTCCTTCAGCCCGTCTTGTCCTGCACCAGTAACCACGACATCACTTGTTCCACCGGATGGATATATTCAATACACAGAACTCATGTCGCAACACCAGCTTAAGCAAGGCTACGCACCTTCTCTGCAATCAATGTTTAATCACCCCACTCTCAAGCCCACCAATCTTGTACGATCAACGTTTCAAT